TCCTTGGTGGGCAGATAACCCAGGCCAAAGGTATAAGGGTTATGTGGCACTTCAGCCAATGCTGCGACGCCCTTCCGGCCGCTCCTTCCTAACCCCATCCCGGGGATGTGTTGAAGTTTGTTCATGAAGTATACCGCTTGAGCACTGACATATATCCCCTCGTTAGCAGCCATGATGTTTTGTACAACCCGAGCCTCAGCAAGGGTGAAACCTGATATAAACACGTCCTTCATGCCGTGCTCAATTTCTAGGACTGGTATAGATACCTCTGGAGGTGGGTGGATCGATGAATTTCCGAAAACAATGGCTACTCCCTTTTCATAGGGGTATTTCACCATCTAATGCAGAGTGGACAAGACGGCCTTCACTCGATGCAGCCACGGCCTCCCCAAAAGCAGGTTGAAAGTTACCAGCACTTCTAAGACATGGAAATCTATCTCATGCTGTCCTGGCCCAACTTTAGTCTAAATTTTCACCGTCCCCATGACCTCTCTACTTGTATTATCGTATGCCCAAATCACCGGGGCTGTTGGCACAAAGTTCGCAGTCTTCAAGCAAATTACATAGGCAGTCCTTGCTGGACATACATTGATGGCGGACCCTGTGTCGACAAGCACCAAGGGTATCCATTTGTTTCTGCACTCCACGGAGATGTAGAGTGGCTTGTTGTGGTTCGCACCCTCAGGTGGTAGTTCTTTGTCAGAAAAGGTCAACATCGGGGTAGCTCCTCCCAGAAAAACTAAGCCTACTAGCTGTTCTGGCATAGTTTCTATCCTTTGCCTTGTCCATGGCTGATAGGACAGCCTGTCTGTGCACTCGTGATGCCATAAGCAGTCGCTAGATGGAGATGTCTGCATGTATCTTTTTTAACTGCTTTAGTACAGCCTCTTCTTCGACTTGCTTCTCTTTCTGTCTCTCAGCTTCCTTGTCTTTCCCAGATGCCTCCGGCTGGTCTAGGTGCGAGGGCTTGAAATACCGTCCGCTTCTCGTCATGTGGTCGATTTCTCCAAGGCACCAGGTGTCATCGGGTTGGTTGCTCCCCCAATCTTCGTTTGTGTGGGCAAGACATAGATCATCGTCCTCACACCACATTGCATCAGCAGCCGACAGACATCTGTTCGGCTCTGGTATGACCGTTCTCGTACTCGCGGTACCTTCCATCCCCATGCTCGCAGCATTCTCTGTTCCTGGGCACACAGCAGTTTCAGTCCCCACATGGGCCTTTGCCTTTCTGATTCTTGCGGGATCTTCAAATCTTTCTTGTTCCGACCATATCAACACAACTAGCTGCTCAATAATTCCTGTATTCAGAATACTCCAATCCTGAGTGAAATTCTTAACACCGGCGCTTCCCGGCGACGCATTCTGATTTCTGACTCCCTCGACTGTCACCGACATTCGTGCCCCTACCGGGCCCTGTCCTGGTTGGAACTCTTCCACCACATCCGGTTGATCATCCAACCATCCAGTAGCCTCTACTGATTCCTCATAATCAAACCAGTTGACAGCTGCGCCCCCTGGATCTTGGTCATTGTAAAACTAGAGATTGGCAAGGTCCTCTTCCACAGCCCTTAAATCATCTGTTCCCTGTCCCAGACTATCCCCTTGGATCACACACAGTTCTCCCCCTGTTGGCAATTCCACATCTGGCCCATCCTGGCCTATTGATGAAATGTAGTCACCCGGACTATATGTCTTCTCAACACGTCTCCCAGATTCTGCAGACTTTGACTCAACAACCTTATCTCCTTTGGGATCTCCTCTCTCTTGTTCTCGATAGTCACCACCGTTGGCTTAGGTCGGGTTATGGAGATGTCCATCATGCACAAGTCGGTGTAGTCGGGAAGGAGTACCTCCGGTTTAGGCAGGTGGGAAGGAGTGGTATAGATGCTAGGATCGTAAGGCACGACCCCAGTTTGGATGAAGTTGATCCTTTTAGGCGGTGGAGCTTGGTTATGTGTGGGGAGAGGGTTTGTTGTAACATTGGGTTTCTCGGGAGGCAGAATCACCCCGTTATCGATGAGATCTTGAATCTCATGACGTAATTAGAAGCACAAATCGGTGTCATGACCGTGCTGTTGGTGAAATGCGCAATATTTGGCCGGGTTGTGGGTAGGGGGAAGTCTTTCTGGTAAGGGTCGCGGTTCTAGGGGCTTCAAATGCCCTTTTCTGATTAAAACTCCCAGAGCTTTGGATAAGGGCATATACAGTGGAGCGAAGGTTCTTGTGTTTTTGGGTGGGTATTTGGCTATTTGGATATGGCTTCCGGACGCGCCGGAGAATGGCGCAGCTGCCATGGTTCTTGGAGGGGGGTTCGTGGTGACCATGCTCACTTCGGAGGCTCTTGTAGTTGTAGTTCCGCTCGGGCCTGCATTAGTGTTGCGGTTGAAAGTTCTTCGGGTTTGTTCCCGGTCATTATCAATTAAGCCTTGCCTTAAGGCATCCTCAATCTACACCCCCATTTCATGTAGATCAGAAAAGGTAGGGAAGGGGAGTACAATCATCTTTTGCATCAACTTCGACTGAAGATTGCGCACAATCATCCGAATCTGGTCTTTGTCTGTAGGCCTTAGGGTCATCATCGAAGCCTTGGCCCTCCATCTAGTCACGAATTCTGAGAAACTCTCTTTAGACTCTTGCCTTGTTGTCTCGAGATCACGGGTTGTAATCTCGATTTATGTATTGTATGAGTATTGCGTAATGAAAGCCTCGGCCATCTCGTCCCAGTTTCTCTTGACATCATCTTCTAATTTGGCATACCATATGGCCGCCACACCCGACAGGGTTCGGCCGAACAGAGACAGCTTCTGAAGTCTGCTGAGGCCCATTGGCTTTAAGATGTCTGAAAACAATCTCAGGTGCACCATGGGGTCCCCAGACCCATCAAATCGATCAATGTGCGGCACTTTGAATCTGTCAGACAGCGTCACAGCTGCGTCGGTATATCCATCTTCAATGACAGGGATGGTCTTGACTCCCTGGGATCTCTTGAACAGCTTTTCGAGTTTGCTCAACTTCAATGCGGTGGGGTCTGTCTCAAACTCAAAGGGAGAGTCCAGTAGGTTGGTGGGTGTTTTGGATAACTGGGGTTGGATTTGGGGTAGGATCGGGGGTGGAGGTGGTCCCATGGGAATGTCCGTATCATTCTGAACATTAGCTGTCTCCCCGGGGGTGGGAATTCCTCGCGGGGGAGGAACTTGTTGCGAAGCAGAATCTGTCAGACAGCGTCACAGCTGCGTCGGTATATCCATCTTCGATGTCAGGGATGGTCTTGACTCCCTGGGATCTCTTGAACAGCTTTTCGAGTTTGCTCAACTTTAATGCTGTGGGATCTGTCTCGACCTCAAAGGGAGAATCCGGTAGGTTGGCGGGTGTTTTGGATAACTGGGGTTGGATTTGGGGTAGGATCGAGGGTAGAGGTGGTCCCGTGGGAATGTCCGCATCATTCTGAACATTAGCTGTTTCCCCGGGGGTTGGAATTCCTGCCGGGGGAGGAACTTGCTGCGAAGCAGATGCTCCGATTTGCTGCTGTAACCTTACGATTAACTCTACTTGTTCATTCATAACCGTGGTCTGCTGCTTGGCGAACTCTGCTTGTCGGATAGCATCCTGCTGCATCATTTTCATACTCTCATGGAGCTGGCACACCATCTCTTCTAAATTGGCCATACTGTTCTGCTCTGACTGAATTACCGGTATATGTTCCCTTTCTGTGGGAGAAATAGAATCCTGATCCCTACTGTACACAGGTGCAGTAGATAAAGCCCTCTGTACTGACTGTTGAACTGATGTCCTCCGCCTAGCTATCCTCCGTCTAGTAACCGGGGGTAGAGAGTGGTACACTGGTTGTCCGTCTACCAGATCCTCAGATCGATGGAGCCGATGACCTCTAGTCCAGAGTGCTTGGGGAATATCTACTGGGTCAGAAGCAATTGTGCTCGACTACCTAGTAAAAAGATAAATAAAGCATATAAATAAACAGACAATTGGACAGCGTAACAACATAAAATAAACACAACACACAGCTAGGTATCACAACAAATTGCAAACAAGCTGAATGTACTGTTCCTTAATCACTGATCACTATTTCCAAATCGTTGCCCCAAAGTCTGAATCTGATACCCGTAGATGACTGATTCCCAAAAACACTGATGCCCGCAGGCCTGACACTCAGACTTGCGAACTGATATATACGTTCCCTGTAGAGATGCACTCTAAATGCACATAGCAAGTAAAGAGAGCCAAAACACCCCTATGGAGGGGTAGGGTTTCCCTGTCCTATTTTTGTCAGGAGCTAGGGTTTCACTATGCACGCAGCAGTTTTCAAACAACCTAACAACGAGTAAGCAACCTGTCCTAGTTTGGAATGGTCACTATGGATTTCGATATGCACTAGGTCGAATGGTCGAAAAGGGTGCCCTGGTAAAATCGGGGTTTGTGTTCCCATACTGTCAGAGCCCACAACCGGTCAGCCTTATGGCATGCTTTGACAAAGTCAAGCCTCCGGCAAACAGTTCAGGAATGACAGATGGCAAACACGGTGTCCTAGGCGCACCAATGCACATGCAATGCAAAGAGACACATAAATGAAATCAAAACAGGATATCACGAGTTCGAGTCAAGCTCTCCAAACTCCCCAGCAGAGTCGCCAGAAACTGTAGACAGCCCCTCGGGCCTCATGCTACAGTTCGGACTTAATTGGAGTCACGGTCCTGTATCTAATCTCGCAGAGTGCAATGCAAGACCGATGAATCATCAAAGAGTCCAAATCTGGCAAATCGTTTTTGAAAATAGATTTTTTTTGAAAGAAATGCCAAACATGGACTGTTTCGCCAGATACAGAGTCGCCGAGCCTGGTGCATGCAAGACTAATGAATGATGCACGCATGTGTAACAGCGCCCGCGGGGGACCTCATGCTACTACAGTTCGGACTCGCGATTTTTGTTGTCGCGGTTCTTAATCTGAACCAAAGAGTCCAAATCTGGCAAATCGTTTTATAGTGGGCCTAGCCTGAAAAGTCATTGACAATTGGTATGCTTTAAAAAGCATTTAAAATTTTTTAAAAAAAAATAGAACTTAAAATTTGACTGAACATACCTAGCCTCTGGTTGCTTTTGGCATCAAGAAACCCATCATGGGTCGTTATCACCTTCATCAACCATGTCATCCATTATCATCACAATTCTGCTGCTTATCTGTCAAAAGAACTAATGTCATTCACATTTCAAACTTCAGAGAATACTGGAAACACCTAATATGTAAACAAGCTGAAACAGCTGAGCACAAAGACATGTTACCTATTGGCGCGACTATGTATTGGTTATCTTGCGAATGGCTAACCTAAAGTGGGTTACAAATTGACAAGTAGTTAACTAAACACTTGTTCTATATGGTAAATCAAGCTTTCAGCAGTTAGTGAAGCTCATGGAGAACAAACAGTAAAGAAATGTTAACACAGTACCTCACTGACAGATTCAGAATGCTCATCCCTTTGTACAAAATCAGCTCCCAAGCTCACATCATCGTCTTGAATGTCATCATTTTCATCTTCACAAGGATCAAGCATACTCTTAACCTGCATAATTTCCAATTACAAAACTCAAAATTTGAACAAGGGATCCAAGTGTCTCACTGTTCCTGCAATCTTATATCTTTACCTGAGAGCTAATACAAAATGTTTGTTGTTGACATTCCCAACCTCTCAATTTTCAAAGGATTTTTAGTCCATGGGCTATGAGCTTCTTGTTCTGTGCAGTTTCTGAAGAATGGAGGCTCATAATCCACAGACTGCAAGATCAATAAGTCAGTGATCATGCTTTTTGTGGTCAAATATGAATAGACAAAAATAAGGATTTTTAGATGCATTATTGGACAGACTAGTGACAAGCCAGAACACCCCAAAATCTGTAAGATTCAGATGATGCTTTATCTTTGTTAGCTTTTCCCATTCCAGCAGTTTTGCAATTTGAAAAATACATAATTCTAACTGCGTGAAAAAATGACAAAAGTAACATAAAACATTTTAATGCTATAGCTCAAAACTTGAATCAAAGCAAATCATTATATTTACAAGTGTACTTACTCTTTTCCAATTTGTATCCCACCCCAGTGAAGAACTAAGGTGCCACTAGTATTAGTGACCTGCATATCTATTTCTGATACAGAACATGAAGTAGGAGCACTAACAACGACCTGTTCAATTGGATAGGATACAAGAATCTCATGTTGAATACATTATCGATCTGAAAGATTTAGGTATTTGAATTCATCTAAACCCAACAAAATTTCTGGGGTCAATTACAAATGCAAAAGCCTATGCTGTTAATACCTGTAATTTCGTATTTCCATCAAGGTTGACCTTTCTGTAAGTTGCTACGATGAAAGAAATAGTCAAAATCAACTGACATCCAAACCAGTAACTCAAATCATCGTTTGTAATATTTGTCATTGCTCTTCACATTAAAAATTTTCAACCAAAATGGAAAAAGCCCAAAAGCTGATTCCAAAAGTTATTCAATGGGCAAATTAAAATGGTAGTCTATGTATTCTGTTACTTCTTGTGTCATTTTACTTCCTATAATTTCAATTGACTCGATTTTAACCATAAATTTATCACTTTGTCTCAATTTGGTTCAATTGAGTTTTTTTTTTTATTTTTATATATGAAAAATAAACAAATAAGGGGCATGTGGGAAAAATTATAAACTTGAGTTAAAAATACTAATGAGATAATCAATTGGACTAATAAATTCATTCAATTGAACACAATGACGTAAACGGTGCAAAGGGGGGAAAAAAAAAAGGTTAGAAATTGATAGTGTACCTTAGAAGTTGGATCGGTGGCTAACACAGACTGAGGAAAAACAGAAAGCACTCGATTTGTTCCCATCGGCAACTTCGTTTTCCGTAAATTCAGACATTTTCCCCAGAATTTGGAAGTGATATGTGACTTTGCCTGAACTTGAAACAAATTGTAACCAGAAATGCAAGAGGAATTAATCTTACTTTGATGCTCTAGCACCACAAGAGCAAGCAAATTATGGTGAATCAAGTTATGGCCTATCGAATTGCTCATATTCTTCAGATTACATTTAGAAACATAAAGGCACAATTTATTTGAACATATTGTGTTTTGTACCTTGGAGACCTCAGTCGCTCACCGCCGCTGCAGGCCGCTGCTGCTCGTAGTCGCCACCGATCAAAGGATGTAGGGTTAGGGTTTGGAGAGAGGAGTGAGTGAGAGATAGTTTTTTTTTTCTTTTTTTGGACACAGTGAGATTTTTAGATCTTCTTAAGTTAATTTTTTTCGTCATGGTTACGAAATTATAGAAAAAAGGTGAAAACAAATTCTCCATAATGAAAACTCACAGGCATTGAATGAGGTATGCTCTTATTCAAAGTCTGGACCTTAGCCACTTTACTGGTGGGTGGTGAAGTAGCCTCCACGGCTGGTCCAAGTGAAGTACCTGCAGCCGCAGCAGCAGACTCACCAGGTAGCCTCGCACATGTCTCAACCACTTTACTGCTCGGTGCAACCGTTCTAACCGAAAGCTCTCACCATCAAAGAACAAAACTGCATCATTTTCCTTGTAATCTTCGCTACTGCCCTCGAATGTCACTTTTGGTTTTCCAGGTTGGTTGTTGTGAAATTCTACAGTAACCCTGTTTTCCTTGTTCTTGTGCAGTAATCCTGCCTAGTTCTTATCAATTGACGCTGGTTTAAATTCATCTGAAAGATTTTTTTTTTTAAAAAAAACCACATCATCCTTCTGAAAATGTAGCCATATATTGCCACTCAATTGGTGAGAAAACTCAAACCTCACATTTTCCATTAATGATTTGGATCCAGAAAAATTGGAAGAATTATTTTTTCATTTCCAATAAGAGAAAATTATTTGTTTTAAAAAATACAAAATTTCAGTCTTAAGTTTCTTATCTGCAACAGTAAGCTCACAAGTAGGTCTAGTTGAGGTCAGAATTTCATGTGCAAACAACATCAAAATACTTCGGAAAAATAAGGGGGGGGGAATCGTTTCAGTTCCCTAGATTTTTCTCAGCAACCAAGAAGAGAAAATTAGAAAAATATTGTAATTCGTCTAAAATTACAAACCCCTTTTGCGGTTTCGAAAATTTACAAAAAAAAATTGCAAAAATTGAGGGTAAGGTCTGTTCAATTGAGCTCATCGCAACAAGTAGGTTCTTCGGGAATCAAAAATACCAGGTCCGTTATTTTCTTTCTTCGAGCTTTCTAGGCAATGAATGAATGCAATCCAGACATATACATATATATATATATATAGAGAGAGAGAGAGAGAGAGAAACTTACAACGCAAAGTGCAGAACTTAGAGGAGGGATAGTGGTCCTTGAAAGAGGAACCTAGGATTAGGTTAAACCAATGATCGGGCTGAGGAGCCGTGTTGGGTTCTTCTTTCTTGTTGTTGCTTGCCATCTTTTTGATTTTGAACTTTCTCAAACAAATCTAGGGCTGCTACCAATGATAGGAAGCATGCTGCAAAAAAAGGAAAAGGGCAATTAAAAAAAGGGAAAGGGCAGTTTGAATTTTTATGAATCAGAAAAGAGGAAATTGTTTTATATAAAATTAAAATTAAAAAAAAAACCATACAATCGCATGTATTTAGAAAATGTGATTAAAAAAATAAATATAATCACACTTATTTAAAAAATAAGATTAAAAATAAATATTATCATACTCACTCAAATTAAGTATGATTAAAATATTGATCTAATTTTTTTTTATCACATTTTCACTAAAAGTGAGATATTTTTAATTGTCAAAGTGTAATCTTTAACTATTTTTGTAGTAGTGAAGAGTGAAATCGTGGAAATGGATGAGGGGAGATTTGATGAGGGAAAAAAAAAAAAGGGAATTTTAAGAGGGAATTTGCCATTGCCTGATAATCAGATCACAATCAAAATAATAATAATAATAATAATAATAATAATAATAATTTCAAAACAAATTTTAGATTTGTTTTTTTGAAAAAATTAAAAATAATTTGAGAGCAAAAAAAATTAAAATTATATTTTTAAAATTTTAAAAAGTATTTATGACGTAAAAGATAAAAATATACAAAAATAATAAGTATTTTTTTATTTCACCCTATTTTTTTTAGTTTTTTTAGGGGAAAAATTGAAATTAGGTTTTCTGAAAAAAAAACCAAACATATGAAATTGATAATCTCACCATATTTTTTGAGAAAGTTAAATTATATCAAATTAGTCATCTCACTTAAGAGTCGTGTTTGGGCTTAATGGGTTCATTTTTGTGTATCTAATTCAATGATCATTTTAATTTTACAATTCAGTAACAGTAATATTTAATCTCTTCATTGAAAAAATTCGGTAATAAAAAATACAAATCACTATCACATCATTCCAATAGCAAACCTCTTACCGACGAATAGTGTTATCGTTGCTAAATGGTTAACTCTTTGCCCATGCCAACTTGTCGTCCGCCAAAAGTTGACACTATATGCTATGACGCTACATGTGCTTGCTAAACATAAGCCTTGTAGCTAAAAGTCTCTGAAATTTTGGCGCCAATACCAAAAATTTTGG